AACCGAGGTGGTGGCAGCTGGACAGAAGGGTAGAGATGGAGGTGATGGTTGGAGTTGCATTAGGGTAAGTGTTTAGAGACAATAGAACAGTTATATACCTGCCCCATTCAAATTATGATCCATATTGACAAAACCGATGCCTCCCTCTCCTTTTCCTTTCATACTAAGTCCTAAAATTACCATTTAGCCCTTAACTCCATAAAATCCTTTCAATATGAGTCAAAATGAGACCAAATACCCCCTAACTTTTGAAATCCTTTTCAAATATATCCCGGAATCACACTTTAACCCCCAGTAATTCAAATCTTGTGATTTTTCGTCCTGAAACCAGCACTCCACTAATTATTATTTGATTTTGTACAATAATAATATAAAAATAATAACAATACTACTTCTCGATGTTCCGAGTTTATTATTTAATTATTCTATTTTAAACGGGATGTCATAACTCTCCCCCATTTAAATTTGATTTCATCCTCGAAATCATTTCTCATCATTGCTTACACGCGAAACAACTTTAGAAACACACTCACAACTACAATCATAGCCCCAGACTTTCCAAGGCAACCGTAACCAACCCTCGCAGGATTCTGAAACCTGAAGATAAACGAATTCTAGCGATATGGTCACACTTACTCAATCTGAAGTCTTAAGTCTCGAGATGGTCTGGCTCTTTGAAGGATCGCCAACACTGAATCATTGTCAGATTCATTGCCCTAAACTCCCAACTGGCTACTCAGCTTCTGATAACTAGTGTTCCTACTAGAAAACAAAATCAAAAATCACACATTGTTGCCTATAACACTTTTCTTGACAAGAGATTAGGTACTCCTTCAAGAGAAACGCATTTTGGGAAACAATTCCCAAGGATATAATGAACAATCGGATGTAATATGGGAGGTGAACCCTTTTAGGATTGAAAAGAGAATGTTTCCTGTATCCCTAGGATTGACATACATATAATAACCGACTCATAAACACGAACACTCACACATGGCCCAACCAGCATTGGGCTAGAATACCAGGCATACCTACGAAGGGTCCAGTCATCCTTAGGATGGAATATGCTTGCATCATGTACATGTTTGGCCCAGTCAACTATCTAGTTCGAATACCAAACATGTCAGGTCCTTTCAATCATTGGGTCCGGTCATCCTTGGGATGGAATATCCTAGATGAGAATACCACTATATACGAAACTCGGGTCTAAACTCATGACTTGAGGTTCAAGTACCTGCCTGTGTATTTCACATAAAATCTTATGATTCCTCGCAGCAGATTATGACCCGTTCAACCCTCAAATATGTGTCCATTCCAAAAGCACTCCAACAGAGGAAATGAACTTTTAAGATCACTAGGCCCACAACCTATAACTAGAATACACCTACCAGGTCCTCTGCATAGGTCTAGATTGCCTCTGAGCCCACAACATGAGTCGGGTGTGCCCTACTTGGCCCTCAACTCATGACTGGAATGCTCCTGATAAACTATCAACATTGTCTAAAAGAAAAGGGCTAACCAACATCCTTCACAACACCAACCAGCACCACGATGCTGAAATCCCAACAAACACGATTCCCTTATAGAACAAGTTGCTACCGAAGCAAAATATTACAAAACTATGGTCGCACATGACCCTAGAATAGGATGATAATCAGACTCTCAATCTAGTTTGCAGACTATAACTTAGACCTGATCAAACACGTAAGTTGAACCAAATCTATTTCCACCTTGAATACCCACAGATACACACGAAGAATCACTACCACACACATATTTGGGGAATCCATATCTCCATATTCACTCGCCACAAAGCCCATACTGGATCGAGACTGATATGATTCTACTAATACGTAACTAGTTTGAGAAGACTTCCACGACTATCCAGAAGGTAACCGAAATTCGAGTCTGATATGAATCAAAATTCTCTTTCTTCATCGAGAGGAAACATAACCCAAAGACTTAGAAAACATAAACACACTGCATAAGGGAATTGGTGACGTATTCATAGCTTCTCAACTATTGCCTCTTGAATTCCTTCGGAGAATTCCGAATCCTTGAGAGGTTCACCGATTAATGACTGTCCGACCATTCTGGAAACTATAATCTGAACTGTAACAGACAAAGCCTTCAATGGCTGACGCTCAACCTAAAAATTCCCAATTCTTCGCCACTTAGAACACTAACCACCACCCAATGGTGTGAAACCCAAACATAACTTAACTGACAGTCCCTGATGCTTGAATGACCTTACAGTTGGATCTTGAAGTACAAAAGATAGATGCTCCAACTAATACTTGAGCAATGAGTTATTTCCTTTGGTGCTTTCATCCATTAATCAATAACAATTACTAAAACCTCTAAATCCTGACAATGTTGAATAACCATCCTGTGGGGACCTGTGTGTAGACCTCCCACATAATACCCTTCTTCCCAAAGGGCTACAAACAAATCTCTCGCTTTCTGTCTCTAGAAATCATATCATACAGGGTGTCGCACCTTGATTCACTCACCAGTGCAATCGTACACATCTAAATTGCAGTACCGGGCTACAACTACTCCCAAGACATTGTCCCTAATCCTGGAAGTGCAATAGATCGTACAATCAATCCTTCTACTCCTAACTATAAAAATAGAGTTGAACATAATCATCACTCCATTCTGAGTCTCGCAACTCACATCCCGACATCGTGCAAAACCCCTAAAGCCTCAAATCTTGAAACTCCTGTGCTAGCCTCTCCCACTCAATCTGCGAAATGTAAAGGGTAGAAAACATCTACCTAATCCTAAGTAACTGCAGCCCTCTACTCATGAGAATATGTTCCTGTAACAAGTCCTGGTACTGGAGAGCTCAACCAGCTCCAACCATTCGCTGTCTTTATAGTTGTTGTAGCTGATGCAGCAACCATCTCAGTAATGGTTGCATAGCACTCATCTAAATGCTCAACCATGGAAGTCTTAATAGACCCAAGCATCTCCGGCCACTATCCTTAGACAATCTCGATCACCTCCTCCCGGATGATCTCACTGTCACAATCCTCTGACATTACTGGCTTATCCTGGCTTCCAGCTCTCGGTCCTGATCCTAATCCGATCTCAAACATCTTGTAACCACCATTCTTATGTTACACTAGAGAGATCTCGGATAACACATATAATAAAATAGAACCAACTCCCATCTAAACCCCAGAGGTTGTGACTTGCTTGCTATACATATGGGTCCTGTGCTTTCAGTAGTACAGGCCCATACTACCTTCCATACCTACCCATATTTTTCTCAAGTATCATCACAACGCCCTAGCTTTATACATAACATGGCGGTCGCTTAATCCTCAATCCTAGAGGAATGTTAAATATCTCATAATTGGCCTCCCGACCTCGCACAACCCACCCATGAAACTTCCACCAACCTTGCAGCACTCATGTATGCTAGCCATAAATAATGTTGGACCCTATAGACTTTCTACTACCTGATCCTACCCTAAGCCCTAAAATAAGGCCAAACCAAACATTCTCAGGCTATAAGATCTTAATTATGTACATTCGTGATGCATACACAAGAAACTGCAGTAATGATGTCAATTTCATGTAAGAAAACTCTAGGCTATCAGGCATCATGTAATTAGGCAATTCTATCATGAAATTTCTGAAGATCCCTAGCCTAGTATTAGCATGTTGTTCTAAAATATCACAATATCAAATAATTGTATGGTATTTTGGGGTCTACTTATTGGCTCCAGCTGATCGTACACTACGCATCCTCCTTTTAAAAATTAAAGTTAAGTCAAGGTCCACATTACCGATCCCAAGCCAATAATCAAACAAGAACATGACAAGAGATTGAGCCCATATCCTTAACCCAACTCTTTCTATTATGTATTTTTTTTACAAATTTGTAAAAACTCTCAGATCTTAGCTTGAGGCTAGATTTGTACAAGTGTTTATCCAACTTACTCAAACTAGGACTCTGATACCAACATGTAACACCCATAAAAATCAAGCCAATTTAAAACTTTTTTCGAGCATTCAAAAGCCATTAGTTATTACAAAATGTTTTCAAAATAGTTTAATATCAAAATCTCCCATAAACAAAGACATAAAATGTGAGGAGCTGTAGGATCACGCATTTTCCTTCTCGCGAACCTCTGAGGTACCTACAACCAATATCACATGATCATCAAGGCCCAGTAATGGCCCACCTATGGCCCAGTTTTCCAAATTGGGCCCTAGTCCTTCACATAGGCCCTATCCTAAAGTTCATCCAATTATTTTGGTCCATTTACTTGTTCTTGGATATCCCATCAATAGTCCAATCACTAAGTCCTAATAGGATGGCCCAAATCAAGGCCCAAGTGAAATTAGGGTTTTCACTTGAAATGACGATTAGGGTTAAGTGTTCATACTTAACCCAATAACACTTGATCCATTAAGTATAATATTTCCTTAAGTTAATTTGCAAATGATTATTAATTAAAATTTTCAATTTTAATATTTAATTCAAGTGTGGGTCCCGATAAATCCCCAAAATTAGGGTTTCATGACATTCGGATTTTCCAAACCCTAATTAGGGTTTCCAATCCAATAATAGCCTATTAGTAACATGATTGGGATTTTAGCTCAATTAAGGCTTCATTAGGCCCATTAGGGTTTCATTAGACCCATTAGGGTTTCATTAGGCCCATTCTGTCTAAGCATCCCAAACGAGTCAAAACACAAATGAGCACAACGCCACCCAACACGGCGGCTGGAAGCGACAAGAGGCGGTAGCCACCACCCTATTGTGGTGGTTTTGAGTTTTCTATTCTTATTCCGGCCGATTATAATACATTACATTTTACGTCCAAAAACGTAAATAAAAACACAAACACACACAGCCACCGTTGTGGTTGTCAGCGGTGGTAGATGGTGGTGGTGGTCTTTTTCTTGAGAATTCCGGCTAAGAAACACTATCCACGACATATATTATGAACTCTTGTAACAGAAGCACACGAATCTTTTTGCTAGGAAAAATAAACCCAACACCCACCTGTGGTGATGACAGTAGCACTAGAAAACTGGCAGCAGTAGCGTCCATCTGCAGCAACAACTTCGTTACCTGCGCCAACCACCATGGTCGGATGCCATGGTGGTTCTTCATGCCTTCCATTCGATATAACCCACTCAAAGATGTAAACGTATAACAAACCACGAACCCTACCACCCTGCCGCAGTGGCATGCGGAGGACGAAGGGCGTTAGTGGTGTTGAGAAACCTCCAGGCGACAACAGTGATGCAATCATAGGGAGAGAAATGAGGAGAGGAGGTGGTGGTTCGAACCCACCGAGTACAATAGTAGCAGCAGCGGCAGAGAGGCGCCTGCTCGATTCCCCGTCGGCAGGTCCATCTTCAACAACAATGACAGCAAGCTTCGTCGGCATCCATGGAAGGAGGTGGTCGTGGAGACTGGAGGGAAATCCATGAGAAACTGGCGACAACAACGCATATAGGTTCGCTTTCCTAACATTAGAATGGCATGGAGTGGTTGCTCCAGTGGTTTGGGAATCTCAACCGAGGTGATGGCGGCCGGAAGTTAAGGGTAGAGAGGGAGGTGACGGTTGGAGTTACATTAGGTTTAGTGTTTAGGAACAATAGAACAGTTTTATACCCGCCCCATTCAAACTATGATTCATATTGAAAAAATCTACCCCTCCTTCTCCTTTTACTTTCATATTAACTATTAAGTCCTAAAATTACCATTTAGCCCTTGTATCCATAAAATCCTTTCAATATATATCCAAATGATACCAAACACACCCCAACTTCTGAAATCCTTTTCAAAATATATCCCAAAATTACACTTTAACCCCCGGAGATTCAAATCTTGTGATTTGGCTTCCCGAAACCAACACCCCACTAATTAATATATGATTTTGGATAATAATAATATAAAATTAATAATAAAATTACATCTCGGGGTTCTGGGTTTATTATATAATTATTCTATTTTAAATGGGATGTTACAGTAGGGACCCAAACAATCAAGTTTATCACATAGCTTGGGCTATTCTTTACATTGAGAATAAGTATAACTGGAAGTTGTTCCTTTAGTTGTTAGAGGCTGACCTTGGATTGGATACAGGAAGAGGCATGTGTGTAACTTCAGACCGACATAAGGGTCTACTTGAGGAAACAAAAGAGAAGTTACCATATGTTGAGCATAGATAGTGTGCAAGCCATGTCTATGACAACTTCAGGAAAGTATATAGTGCAATTGAGCTCAGAAACCTAATTTGGCAGACTTCTAAATAAATTGTAGAGGAGGGATTCAAGCCATGTCTATGAGGCTATAGAAAATGGTATGGCAGAATGCTTCAATACAATTATGCTTGATGCTAGGGACAATCCACTTCTCATCATACTTGAAGAGATAAGGCTCGATATGATGGACAAGTTTTATAACCTTAGGGAGCTTGCTGAAAATGGAAAGGTGATGTGTGTCCATCTACATTTAACAAAATGGAATTTAGTGAAGACTTGAAGTAATTTTTCCTTGTTTTGTATATATTTATGCCAAGTAATTATTGAATTTTATGCTAACTTACTAAATAAGTTTTATTTGCAAGTTTTGGAGGCTACACCGTAGTGGGTAAAATGAATTTGAAGTTAGAAATGTCTTTGAATCATATGGAGTCAACATAGACAAAAGGGTTTGTGCATGTAGACTTTGGGATGTATTAGGGATATCATGTGTCCATGCCTAAGAATCTATCATGTTAACTCACCAGGATCCAAATACATTTATCAGAAGGTGGTTTGTTAAGGTATTGTAAATTTCAAGTTATAGTATTAACATTCTACCTGTCAATGGCAACAATTTATGGGAAGAAGCTACATATATTAACCATTTACCCCATTTAGAGGGTAGGATACCAGGCAGGCCTACTATAAAGAGGAAAATGCATGATTCAATGAGGGATGACAACTTCTCCCAAGTGTCCTCAAAGGTTAGAACTATCAAATGTGAAAAATGTCAACAAAAGGGACACAACAAGAAAAGCTACAAAAATCCACATGTTGAACCTGATCCAAAACCCGAAATGAAAATATGTGAACCCTAGTCTAACCCAATCGAGAAGACGAGGTAGAAGAGGGACAACGGGAAATATGTGTAATATAATTAATGATTTATTATTCAACTCACACACACACACACACACACACACACATATATATATATATATATATTACTACAAATATATCTTTTATTTCCAGTAATTATTCATGAAGTGAGAACATTGTGTCTTTTTTGGTTTTTATGTATGCACATGTATAGCTTATGATTTTGACATATATAGTTTCTGTAAGAATATTTCTACATGAATTATTGAATCCGAGTAACCTCGAGTAGTCTTGAGTACCCCCAAGTACTCCTGAGTAGTTGATACTCGGTAGTCAACTGAACAGGTACCGAGTAGTGAGTTATACAACCATGTTTACGGTTATACCATTGGGCCCCAAAGCACCAACCAAAATCTTGGATTACCTAATCTACATTACCCAAAATTCAAAGGGAGATCTAGGTATCTTTCCCAAAGGCCCTAAGCATTATGATAACCGATTTTTGGGTCATGATCCCAAATTATGAAACAATTCAAAACAGGGTGTTACGAAATGTTACATACACACTTTAGTTCCAGACTTTGGTCTGATGCAGTCAGTTTCGGACATCGGTCCGATGCAGTTAGTTCCGGACATCGGTCTGATGCAGGGGACAAGGTCCCGGTCAGTTTCGGACTATGGTCCGATGCAGTTTCCGGGCTTCGGCCCGATGCAGTGGGTAAGGCCCAGTACATGTTTATATGTTATTGTATGGTATGTGGTAGTTTGGGGGAGCTCACTAAGCTTCGTGATTACAGTTTTAGTGTTTGTTTCAGGTACTTCCGCAAGTCAGGGGAAGAGCTCGGGATGATGGCATTACACACACCACAACTTCATTCTTTATCCTGGGAGTTTGTTTTGATTTGTAGTTTGATTGGATACAGTTGTTTCACAACATTTTATTATGAGTTGAGATATTTGAAACATGGTCTTTATGATATGACAAACAGTATATGATTTTTATTACTATTTAAACAAAAAAAATTTGGGTCCTATTTTTGGGATGTTACAAGTTGGCATCAGAGCCTTGGTTTGAGGGATTCGGGCACACTTCCAGGTGTGTCTGAACTTAAACTAAGGAAATGGTAAAAAAAAATTCGAAAGAAAGAGTTTTAAAAAAGTAAAAAGAATTTAAGAAAGATAAAAACATTGAAAACAGAAAAGGGGTGTGGTGCATGCTATCAGCCGAGCTCAAGTAAGTACTCCCAAAATAGCCATACAAGTTATGTTATGAATATCAGTTTCAGTTTCAGTAGAACAGCATGCTAGTATAGAACTAAGGATCTAGGAGGATGCCTTATATGTCTGCTTTATGTGTTTCAGCCTTATAAGAATTGCATGTTGTCATAGAGTAGTCAGTAGTACGATAGCATGTTTAGGTTATGCTTGATAATATGAATTTAGCATTGTATGCTAGTACAGCTTCCCTTTTTATGAGGATAGAATTGCTTGAGTGGTTTCCCATGACTGAATACTGCTTGCTTTGTGCTTTGTGGGACTCTAAGTGATGGGAGTTAGCCCTTAGGTGAATGTGTCACATCACATGTGAACAAGATTGAATAATCTCAGAGTGCTAGAATTAGCCCTATTGCGCAGCTCATGTTTGAGTATAACCATTGAAGGGATGAGTCTTTTACTTGAAGGATTATTTGAGCCTCGTCGCATGTGATGGTATTCAGGTGATGGCTAATTGGCATCACAGGGAGGCTTTCAGCAGCTAAGGGTTGGATCGGGTATAGTTAGAGAATTTCCTAGGGCAAGCCTAGGATAAGAGTAGCAGAGATCATTAGCAGTAATAGTGACTTGGTGGAGTCATGGCAGTACTTGAGGAAAGTACGGATAGATGTCGAAGGTAGTATGGGCCCGTACTACTAGAAGCAGAGGATCTGTACTCGAATCAAGGAAAGCTGAGATGAGACCGGGAAACTTGTGGTGGTAGTGATACCTCGAGATATATCAGTGTTCCTGGCGTTTATTATGTTGTGTTTCAGAATGGTGGTATTACGCCCTAGACCAGCAGTCAGCAATTTAGGTGCCGGAGGGGGATCAGGATCAGGCCCGGAGGTCGGGCAGTTGGATGAGCTGACTAGGGAGTTTGTCTCTTCAGACATTACTCGCACCATACTTGAGCAGACTCCTGTGATCATTGGTTCGATCAAGGAGAGTATCCTGGAGCTGATTGATGATAGACTGAGTAGTATCCGTGCTGAGGTACCAGCCATGATGGGGTCGCGCACTGTAACACTCCGTTTATTTAAATAAATTAATAAATATAAGTCTCGGACTAATTTGTGAAGAATTTTAGGAGTCGAAGATTAAAATTGTCAGTTCCGGATTAGTCTTATAAGTATTTATGAAAGTAAGGACCACTTGGTAAATTATCGAGACTTAAGATGGATAGATTATGAGAAACAAGGGTTAAATGGTAATTTTGGACTTCATTGTAAAGAGTTTTGAAAGTTAGGGTTTAAAAGGTAAACAAATTAGGGTGGAGGCGCTGAAGTTGAATAATCTGATCATATGTTTGAAATAAGATACGGGATATACCCATATCCCTTCCCCACGCCATTTCCTTCAACCCTAAAATTAAGAGACCCTTTCTTTGCTCCAGCCGCCATCACCATGCGTTTTTCCTCCAGCCGCCACCACTGATCTCGGGTCCGATTGCCATCCCTCCACCTACAACCTTACCATCGGGTGCCACCCAACAACCCTTGGTGCCGATGTCGTTGTGTGCAACTGTAAGAGTCGACGAAAACCAAAGATGGAGGCCGAGAACATTGTCGAATGAGCGATATGGAACTTCTCGGTATGCCAGCAACACTTGATTTCTTCATTCTCATCTTCGATTTCGATGTCAAGATCATTGTGTCGCCGGCAACGAATTTTGGTCGCTACCCCCCCCAGCTTGTTTCAGCGTCGCTAGCCACCTAGTCAGTGGTGGGAGCGGTGGTCTCGTGTCACGCAAAGATACATGTTGCTGTCGAACCATGAAGTGTTGTGAGATTGTTGCTGGCCGGAAATCAAGGAAAAGAACCACCATGGCCGCTTGCCATGGTGGTCGTCGCTGCTGCTGCCTCCCGGTGATGCTGCCACCACCGTGAGCCACCAGGTGCGTGGTTAGGTCCATAGTGCAAATGAGAATCATGTGTGTGGGGCTGTATTTCCATATTTAGTGTGTGATATGTGTGTGTTGTCTAGCCGGAATTCTCAAGAACCGCCACCGGCCACCGCTAGGGTGGTTATGTGCGTGTGTTATAATTAGTTAGTGTGTGTGATC